TTAGGTTATGGGTTTACTTAGCACAAAAATGTAAAGATTATTACCTCGTGCTAATGGTGTACTTTTCTAAGGTCCTTTTCAGTTTACAAGGGACTTGATATGCAGAATCTCACTCCAGTACCATTCAGATGGTAAATGACTTGTTAAAGTTCTCAGAAGTTGCGAGATACAGGCCCCAAGACTTCTTGACTCTGAAGGCATTTGTCCTTAAACTGGGCAAATCTTGGCCAAAGGAAAAAAATCTACTTTACCTAATGTTTTACACCTTTTATGCCTTTCCTGTTCCTTACAACACATAAAGATGGAGGCAATGTTTTTTAAAAAATCCACTAGAATTAAAATTGGGTTTAGAACATACTTAATCTAAACTTTTTTTTTTTTTTTTTAATTTTATGAAAGAGAACCCTCCCCCTGCAACCAATTATTTTAGTCCCAGGGTTGGCAAACGTTGCTTGTAAAAGGCCTGATAGGAACTGTTAGACTTGGCGGGCCATATGGTCTCTATTACAACTCTTCCACTTTGCTGTTTTCGTGTGAAGGCAGGCATAGATGCTGTGACAGTGAGTGGGTATGCTTGAGATCCAGTACAACTGTACTTACGGATACTGAAATTTGAATTTCACATAATTTCTATGTCCCACAAAATAGTACTTTAAAGCATTTTTTTCCAGTTATTTTAAAAGGTAGAAACCACTATGACTCCACAGATCATATCATAACAGGTGTCAGGCTGGACTTGGCCTGAAGACCTTAGTTTGTCAAGCCCTGTTTTAGACCGGGAGGGGGATGGGGAGTGGGGAGTGGAAGTGGTGGGAGCCGGGTGGGGGGTGGGGGGAAGGGAGGCTGCCACCTCTTGACTGTGAAAGGGCAGGAGGAAAGAGGAAGAGAGCAGTGTTAGGCACTTCAGTTGATGATTCTGTGACTGAGACTGAGGTGGCTGGTTCCTCCCAGAATGTCTTTGTCTTGACATTTTCCACTCATTTTAGTGAGATTTTGCTGACTTCACTTCATTTCCATATCTCCTAGTGAGAAATCTTATGACTCGTGATCATGTGGTTTTAAACCAATGACAGGGAGACACTCAAGTATGAACAGAGAGGCGTTTCGATTTGTTCTCTAATTGTTTCCTGTGGGCAAATCACGGCCTGTAGTTTGTGTCCCCAGGTGAGGTCAAGCTCTATGTCAGCTGGTGTATGTCCCTCACAGTCTAGCCTAGAGCTAAATGGCCGACATTTATGAAATTACATACTTGTTATAATTGGTGGGGAGGCAACTAGAAATCCTGTTCCCACTATACAGATACTCAGAGGGGCTCAAGTCACACTCTGTAGAGAGTAATGAATACATACTAGTAGGTCCGTGAACATACATGCTGACTGTCCCAGGTGATGGCTTTCCAGCCGGCATTCTGTCACCAAAGAGCATCCAGAAACCCAGATTTTGAACTTCTTATTTCTTTTTCTTCTTCCTTTTTTTTTTTTTTTTTTAAATATGGAATGCTTCACAGCTTTGGATGTCGCCCATACCCAGGGGCCACGTGTGTCTTCTCTGTATGGTTCCAAGTTGGAAGCCAGTCACAGAAACTGAGTTTCTCTAAAGCACTTTCATCCGGCTGATGCATATCCCTGCCCAGGAGACTTGTGAGAGATTTCCCTTCTGACACAGCTCAACCCACCATGAGAACAGTCTCTCTCAGAGAGCTGCTGGCGCTTTGCTGTTGGAAACTGGCAAGGACAGGACCCATTTAAATATTCAGAACCTCAGAAGTTTGGTTCACGGTTAGTCATTTCAAAGGGGCAGTTCCCTTGGCTTGCCTGTGCTCACAAGGTGGAGTTACTTGAACATTAATTCTAGATTGCCCCCTTCCTGTTGTTTTTATGCTTATTTTAGCTTTTTCCGGTTTTACCTTTCCCAGCCTGAGTCAATAGAGGTGGGTGTGGCCATAGACTCAGGATCCTGGATGCTGAAGGCGGTTTGAACTCTTGCCTTCACAGCTTCTACCCTCATGAAGGGCTGGACAAGCTTGCCGCCATCCATTTACAAACCTGTGAATAGACAAGGCACGCGAGAGGAGAAAAGTCACCTCTGGAGAAATTTGTTTAGGCTTGAGGCTAGCGTACCAACCCAAGCATTAGTAAAATCCTATTTTCTACAGTGAAAAACTAATGCCTTGCTGTTGCCTAAGTGAGATCATGCCGGACCAAAATAGAATGCTGAAAAATGAAGCAACATAAACGGTTTTTATTTAGAAAATAAATGGTTCTAAACCAGTAAAATAAAATAAAAAATTCAGATGTTAACCCTAAAATTACTATGATTAGTTAAATCCAGAGAGTTATAAGGTTATAACTGAATACCCTGTATACCTTTAATTTCCAAGTTCCAATAATGTGTTTAAATTGCTGCTTTCACCAACATTATATTCATTAATATATATTAATATTTTTTGCAGAAAAATGTAGCTGTCAGTAAAATGGAGACAGACACCGTTTTAAAAATGTTGAACTTTGGGGCGCCTAGGTGGCTCAGTGGGTTAAAGCCTCTGCCTTCGGCTCAGGTCATGATCTCAGGGTCCTGGGATCCAGCTCTGCATAGGGCTCTCTGCTCAACAGGGAGCCTGCTTCCTCCAATCTGCCTCTCTGCCTGCTTGTGATCTCTGTCTGTAAAAAAAAAAAAGTTGAACTTCCAGGGCGCCTGGGTGACTCAGTTGTTAGGCACTGCCTTCAGGCTGGGGTCGTGATCAAGCCCCCCATCAGCCCCGCATTGGGCTCCCTGCTCAGCGGGATGCCTGCTTCTCCCTTTTTCACTCCCCCTGCTTGTGTTCCCTCTTTCACTGTCTCTTTCTTTGTCAGATGAAGAAATAAAATCTTTAAAAATAAAATGTCGAGGGGTGCCTGGGTGGCTCAGTGGGTTAAGCCTCTGCCTTCGGCTTGGGTCATGGTCTCAGGGTCCTGGGATCAAGCCCCGCATCGGGCTCTGCTCAGCAGGGAGTCTGCTTCCCTTCCTCTCTCTCTCTGCCGCCTCTCTGCCTACTTGTGATCTCTCTCTGTGAAATAAATAAACAAAATCTTTAAAAAAAATAAAAATAAAAATAAAATGTTGAAATTCCATAGCTATTTATGTGAGAGACTCATACTATATATGGGGGGGGAGGGGAGAGAGAGGCCCCTTAAACTCAGTTTATGCTTCTTAGTTTGTTTTTTTTTTTTTAAACTGGTGTATCAAATCCCTATTTTAATGAAGTAGTATGGAGAACTGTAAAAATAATTACTTTTGATACAAATAAATAGATTTTTTTTTCTTAAGATTTTATTTATTTATTTGACAGAGAGAGAGAGATGGCAGGCAGAGGGAGAGGGGGAAGCAGGCTGAGCAGAGAGCCATCCCAGGACCCTGAGATCATGACCTGAGCTGAAGGCAGAGGCTTAACCCACTGAGCCACCCAGGCGCCCCATAGACTAAATCTTGATTAAGTCCATACAGTGTAGTCAGAGTTTATGGCAAAATAATGGGAATTGCTGATAACTCTCCAGTCCCTATCAGTTATGTTGTCATTTGGATGGGGATATGAATGAAACCGGTTCATTACAGGTCAACTTTGATCAATTTTTATCTACTAGGCTTTGCTGCAGTGTCCAGAAAAGGATACTGTGTCTTATTGGTATTAATCAGGGATAGAGAGCTGGGAGCATTTCCCTACTTCTGATTTTCTTTGATCATGTGTTAGAAGGTCTGGTCACAGGTGTAACCCATCTGGCAGTAGTAGCCTTTCTCAGCGGCCTGACTCCTTCCTCCCCAAATGATTTCATCTGATTAGTGAGTATAGGAGAAGGGTTTGCTGGTTCCTCCTTTCCCCTTTCTTCTGGGAGTGGGCTACCACCAAGAAGCTGGCATCTTCCATCCTTTTAGAAGGGAATGCAGGTTATCTGAAGGAGGAGGCTGACCCCACTTAGATGTTACTTGGACGTGATAGGTCTAATACAGGAAAGTCTAATTATGAAGCGTGCTATTCCACAGGTAATTAGATATGTTCTCTCTATTCTCTTTAGGATTATACAGGTAATATTTTGGTCTCTCATCTCCCTCATTTTTCTGTCTCATTTTCCAATAGGCTCAGAAATCAGGCTGGAAAGAAAAGTATTTATAACCCTGCCCCCTTGGGCCTCCAACAGAAGGGGCTCTCAGAGGTTCATTGGTGGAGGCTAATCCCAATAATTTTCTTGAAGCTGTAGTTTGGTTTCGTTTCAGAATTACTTTTTTGGACCCATAGAAAGATTGTTTTTAAGAACAACTATTAGCATTTGTAGAATGACTTAAGATAATTTACATTATGTACAAAGGGCTAGATGAATACTTAATGTTTTAGAATAAGAAGGTGGTCTGCAGATCACGCTAGTTCCCTTCCTGATGCTGTATCAGCGGCTAAGTCCAGCTCTTACGGACATCTTGCTTCAAAGGTATACAACCAGACGTAAGAGAATTGCTTTCCTGTCTTTTAGTCACCATATTAAAATAGGGAGGGAAATTATTGTTAAACATGCTCCCTTTCAATAGTCTTCATAGGATTTTCTGACCATCATTCAGACCTGAGGGATAAGTTACATAAAGGGCTTGTCTAAGACAATAGCAACAACAATAAAAAAAGACCTCCGGTGACCAACCTAAGTTGTTTACCAAGTCCTGGAAAACTGGGATGTTACCTGGGACCTAAGACTTTTCATTGCCAAGATGAGGAGCAGCCGTGGTAAACCAAGACAAGCTGCTTAGCCTGCAGGACACACCTAGCACTGCCGCTGTTCCTTCCAGCCGTGCCATTTCCTTCAGTACTGAGCGTGCTGTTTGTATTGGTCATGACAAAACAGTCATCCTTGCGGTACTTGCTTATTGAGGCCCTGTGACAGTCAAGCTGAAGGCCTACTCTGTGTGCCTGGTTTTGACGGTAGTGACCACACTCATAATTCTTCCTCCTCTTTAACTGATTTCTGCTTTCTTCTTTGCAGGTCTGTGATTCCGACACCATGCTTGACCCTGCCTCCTCTGTGGAGATGGTGAAAGTTTTAGAAGAAGACCCCATGGTTGGAGGTGTCGGGGGAGATGTCCAGGTGCCTATGGCTTCACTTCCTTCGCACCTCCCTTTTAGATACACTCTTAACACACTGATTCTTTGCATGTATATTCACTACACACCAAACTCTCTGCCAGATGTTGCTTTGGTGATAGAGACACATGAGTATGTGCCTTGAACCCACTTTATTGCCTCTTTTCTTTCCTTTTCTTTTTTAAAAAAGATTTTATTTATTTGACAGAGATCACAGGTAGGCAGAAAGGCAGGCAGAGAGAGAGAGGGGGAAACAGGCTCCCTGCTGAGCAGAGAGCCTGATGTAGGGCTCGATCCCAGGACCCTGAGATCATGACCTGAGCTGAAGGCAGTCTTAACCCACTGAGCCACCCAGGCGCCCTGTCTCTTTTCTAAATTAGAAAAAAAAAAAAAAAAAAAAAAAAAGGATTTTTTTTTTTTTTAAACCCTGGAATGTAACCCTTGTTAGGTATGGCTGATAGGTAATATAAGTTATATATAATTTAAATGTGTAATGATCTCCATATCTTCTTGAACCATAACTTAATGTTCTGGTAAAATCTGATGTTGGGGGCACCTGGGTGGCTCAGTGGGTTAAAGCCTCTGCCTTCTGCTCAGGTCATGATCCCTGGGTCCTGGGATCAAGCCCGCGTCGGGCTCTCTGCTCAACAGGGAGCCTGTTTCCCCCACTCTCTCTGCCTGCCTCTCTGCCTACTTGTGATCTCTGCCTGTCAAATAAATAAAATCTTAAAAAAAAAAAAAATCTGATGTTGGAGATCATTTAGTTGTGAAGGTAAAAAAATGGAAGTGCTGAGGATGGATTCTATATTTATACCTATGTATTTAAAAGATGATTAATATATGGTTGATTAAAAATTCAAGTTGGAACACAAAAGAAGAAAAGAGAAATAGCAACTTAGATTTATACTGGTAAGAAAGGCAAAGGAACAAATAATTAAGTGGGTTTTCTGATTATGACTTATTTCCCACCTATAATTATTTATTTCCCATTATTTGCTAAAAATGGAGAAACAATGACGTCAATATTAATGAAGGCAACTTGGAATCTGTGGGATGGGAAATGCACATATATGTGAATATGTGATCACATGTGAAGATTAAAATGAGTGCTTTGCCAATGCGTGATCAAATTTTAGCAAAAGGTGAGAAGCCCATGGAAACTTAACTTTAAAAATTAGGTATTGTGTTGCTATGTAACCCATTTTATACGTGCATGGAGATAATGAAGGCAAAGACAATGCCTGGAATAGACAAACAGCCTGGTGATAAAAGAGGAAACATGCAAAATCCAGATGAGAACCGTGCAAAATTGAGATGGAGGAAAGAATTTAGAAATACTGCCAAGAAAAAGCTGATAACTTTCAATAGCCTTTACATAGAGCATTATTTCAGGACTTAAGTTTTGGGGAGAGGCCAGAACAAACAGTTAATCACTGGCATTGCATAAAGGAGGGCAAGAAGGAGAAAGAAAATTAATGGAATTGAATGAGTTGGAAATTAACCAGAACAGGAGAGAATAGGGCTTAAAACCTTCAAATCTTAGATGGTAGGAAAGAGTGGGAAAATTTAGGATCTGAGAACTAGAGCCTAAAAACACGCTCAATATCACAGCATAACAAGAACAACAACAACAAAAGCCCTGGGCAAAAAAAAAGGACAGGGTCATGTAGGAGAAAAACGGTTGCTCATCCAGGAGTCCCAACACAGGCAAACAATTTATCAGATTAATCCAGTAACACAGAATCAGAGAAAATAAAGAACAATCATGTCAAAAATAAGAAGGATGCTAATACAGGAGGATCAAACAACAAACCTCACTTTAGGTAGTAATTTCGTGATGATGCAGATTTTGTTGGTATTTTAGTGGGGGCCTATGTTTTACTTATTTGTTTTCTTTTTTTTTTTTTCCTTCTTACAGATTTTAAACAAGTACGATTCCTGGATCTCCTTCCTCAGCAGTGTGAGATACTGGATGGCTTTTAATATAGAAAGGGCCTGCCAGTCTTATTTTGGGTGTGTCCAGTGCATTAGTGGACCTCTGGGGATGTACAGAAACTCCTTGCTGCATGAATTTGTGGAAGACTGGTACAATCAGGAATTTATGGGCAGCCAGTGTAGTTTTGGGGATGACCGGCATTTAACGAACCGAGTGCTGAGCCTGGGCTATGCAACAAAATACACAGCTCGATCCAAGTGCCTTACGGAGACACCGATAGAGTATCTCAGATGGTTAAACCAGCAGACCCGTTGGAGCAAGTCATACTTCCGAGAGTGGCTGTACAACGCGATGTGGTTTCATAAACATCACTTGTGGATGACCTACGAGGCCGTGATCACTGGATTCTTCCCTTTCTTTCTCATTGCGACAGTCATCCAGCTCTTCTACCGGGGTAAAATTTGGAACATCCTCCTCTTCTTGTTAACTGTCCAGTTAGTAGGTCTCATAAAGTCGTCCTTTGCCAGCTGCCTTAGAGGAAATATTGTCATGGTCTTCATGTCCCTCTATTCAGTGTTATACATGTCAAGTTTACTTCCTGCCAAGATGTTTGCAATCGCAACGATAAACAAAGCTGGGTGGGGCACGTCTGGAAGGAAGACCATTGTTGTCAATTTCATAGGACTCATTCCAGTATCGGTGTGGTTTACAATCCTCCTGGGTGGTGTGATTTTCACCATTTATAAGGAATCTAAAAAGCCATTCTCAGAATCCAAGCAGACAGTTCTCATTGTTGGAACGTTGCTCTATGCATGCTATTGGATCATGCTTTTGACGCTTTATGTGGTTCTCATCAATAAATGTGGCAGGAGGAAGAAGGGACAACAGTATGACATGGTGCTCGATGTATGATCTTACGTTGTTTGACGTTTGCAGTCACACACGCAGACACACACAAAACCTTAGTTCCTCTCGGGACTGTACAGTATTGTGGCATCCAATAATGCCACCAAAGGAGACACATCACTGCTGCTGGGACTTGAACCAAGACATGTCTCTGTGGGTTTATTTTGATTCAGCCAAAGTAAAACGACATCAATGAGAAGAAACTCAGATTTAACCTGTTATTTCTATGAAAATGGGAAGCATTCTTTGTTTATGCACTTTTTCCTTATGTACATCTGCCTAACAGTGTTTGCCCTATATACCTCACTAGCCATGCTTTATGTGGGTTATCATGGAAGAAAAGGATTTTGGAAACTCAAGGAAAAGTTCTTTCAACATATACAACCTAACTTATGGACTGTGTCGATAGCTAATTTTTTTTTTTTTTAAGAAAGGATTTTCTGTTTAACTCTACCAAATGAAATGCCAAAGGAAATTTCAAAGGCCGTTGGCTGTGCTGTATTTTTATATAATTGTACTGTGTTTTAAAATTTTGTATGCTGATTTTTAAAACAAATTTTGCATATTCTATATTTTACTTCTCTGCCAAAATACACCTGTTCTTTTTTATTATTATTAAAATAGGTTCTGAAAAAATTCATACTTTAAAAAAAAAAAACCTACCCAAAATGTGAAGCGTGGTTGACTGATGTTGTTCATGATAGAAAGAATAAAATGTTTCTCTCTCTCTCTACCTTTTAACATGGAATAGTTTATTTCTGTGAAAAATATTTAAACTTTCAATATTTTAACTTTTTTTTTTTCATTTCTTTTAGAAAAGGCCTTCACACTTCGGGAGTAGAAATACATACTTAGGTGCACACACACAAAAGGAAATCATTGAAAATCAAGGCCAAAGGGGGTAGAAAAGTGCAATTTTTCATAAGATTTTAAAAAAAAAGGGGGAGTGATGCTAGTCCTTGAAAGAAAACACTGGGCAAATATGGAGCTTCTGGCAGTGTTTTCTCAGGTTGAGTAAAAGGGAAAGTGGAAGAAATTACCTGTGTTAATTGGACAACTACAATGCAGTTCATCGTTTGTTCTGTGGCCTGAATTCACCAGATCCCTGTCAACAAACTGAACATAATTGACCTGTCTCTCTCTCAGCTTGCCAGTTCACTTTCCATGTTACTAGGACTTTTACACGGGTGAGTTGGCTACAACTGATAAGTGTAAAAGCTTACAGATTACAAAATTGGCGCATTAAACTCATCTTCTCCTTCCCAGGGAGGGTATTTTTTTCTGAATTCATACAGATAATCGCTCCATTTGTCCTGTTACTGGCCTCCATAGATAGGTTTACATAATCAGAATAATACCCAGGTTTAAGAAGTGTCTCAAGAATTGGCACATGAAAAAATGGATGAACCAGGTTCCCTTAACCCGGCTAATTTCACTACTCCAAGGGCCTCAGTTATCTGATTTGACTTTCGATGTGACCCATCTTGCCTTGTAGCTGGTGCTGTGTAGACCTGTGTCAACACATGAGTCGTTGCATAAAACATGTTGTGATGAAGTGGAGTGTGAATGTGGAGACGTGTTCAACCACGTGCTTCTGCCACTTGCTTCCATGTGCTTCCTCTCCATGCAGACGCCCTGTTTCATCTATTCTGCCTAAGAAAAAGCTGCACATTCTACCTTTGGACTTCAAAAAGGTACATAACCATTCTGCAACTCAGACTCACGGATGGGAGAGTTTATGGGAAACAGCACAGCATGCCAATAAATGAAACTAAAACTTGAGTTTGCCTTTTTAACTATTTATGTTCTAAGTTAAGCTTTGATAACTTTCAAATGTCAAATTCTCTCATTCTTTTAAGAGATTGAATTAATTGCCTGTATTTATTTTAGCAATTATTCAATGTATTTCCAGTATAGGATGTATAGTATAATTGATTTTTTTGTAAATAAAATATTTTTGATAAGAGCATTGCCTTTTTTTCTAAGGGAAGGGGGCATTTCAAGCATTTCAAACAAAACAAAAGCTTTGTTTTCCTGATTTGTAGTAGAATAGATTTTCAAGAATGGGGTATGCAGAAAACAAACCTGCCTGGTCAAAGATAATAAAAGTCACTTATATTACTAATCATGAAGCAGAAATCCCCTAAATTGGTGTGGTTTGGAAATCTGGAAAACAGATACAGAGAAAGATTCAATTCATATAAACTTTGCCTTTAATCTTAACCTTCTACTTCTCTTGGAAACAGCTCAAATTTAGACAAACTTTTATTACAGTAATTTATCAGAGTGTTTGGGGGGGATACATTTCCAGAAAAGTCACTTGATTAAGTTTGTTTAATTATATTTATAAATAATAGCAATATCTTAAAGTAACTTCAAAACCAATAGAGAGCAATAATTAAATGAATTTGGGCATTTCCAAACAATGGAACATTACTACCCATTAAAATATCCTCAAGATATGAGAAATTGGGCAAATGTTACATTAAAAATATATAACCATTTTGTACAGTAACATCCTGATTTTGTAAAAATACAAATGTTTAAATGTGGTTATCTCTATTTTTAGGAATATCACCGATTTCTATGCTTATACATTTTTGTATTTTCCAAATACCATGATCCTGTATTATTTTGATAATCAGAAAAAGGACAATAAGTATTGCTTTTTTTTTTTTTTTAAGTGGATTGGGACATCTAATAGCGTTTCCTGTTTTGAGGAGCTTTCATGGTAATCCAATTTGCCACTCATCCCTCAAATTCATCTTATTTCCCAATTTCTTTTATTAATTTGTTTCCTAAGGCTCCCTTGTTACTTGGGTACAGTTAAATTATCTGTCTATAAACATATAAATTATATACATATATACAAGAGTATATAAATTATATAAACAATATATGTATAAACAGTTTATGAATACACATACAGTAGCCACTGAATATTATTGCCATCTAGTGATGGCTCTAATCCCAATTGACTGATAAAGTCACTCGGTGCTTTTTAAAAGGTTGGCTAACTTCATAGAAAGGGCTAGTGAGTGTGTGCTCTAGGCTTTCCTGGCCATGTGGTCAGTCATGGGACTACTCACTCTGCTCCTGCAGCACAAAAAGTGTCCACAGGCATTATACGAACGAATGCGTGTGCCCATGTTCCAATAACCCTTTACAGACATCGAAATTTGAATTTGATTTTTATGCATTATGAAATCTTTCATATTTTTTAGTCATTTAAGTATTTTAAAACCATGCCAAGTTTATCTGCGTTACTCAGGCAATGAGCCAGGTTTGGCCATGGTTTAATGGCCCTTGTTCTTTAGGAATCTGCTGATTTATTTGTACCATTAAATACTCAAAGCAACACCTAGTTTTTGTGCACCTACCAGGTGTCAGGGACTGCCAGGAGCACAGTGTATAGACCGGCTGTTTTAGTTCTATCAGTCTGAGGAAGGGGTTCCACTATGATTGCTGTTTATGGGTGAGGAATCACAGGCTTAAAGATTGAGTTGGTACCTTGAGCTCAAACAGCTAGTAAATCGTGATGGTGGAACTTAGGGGCAGGCGATCTGATGTCAGATTTAACCCTTTGAATAGGTGACTACTCAGTGCACAATCCATGGTCCAGCAACACCAGCATCTCCTGGGCATTTGTTAGAAATGCAAAGGCATGACCCCACTCCAGACCCACCGAATCAAAATCCCAGGCCAGCCCCCAGAACTTGTTTAATGAAATCCCCCGGATGATTTCCTCACCCTGAATCTGAGAAGTGTTGCTCTAATCTAGTATCTTCTGTTTTCCTCAGACGAAGCATCGTCTCTGTGACAACTGTCATTCAAATAGCATTTTCCTTTTGAGCTATTCAAATATGGATGTTGACAGACACCTGGTTTTAAGGAAGCTTACTGAACACCTGTCTTGAGCAAGAAATCAAAAGGTGGACTCAAAGAGCTTATAACTGAGTAAGAGGGATATGATAATTATACAAACATTTAGTGCAAAATGGAATAATAAAGGTGTGAAGAATGGCATGGGGATATATAAGGAAGGAATGGAGTGGACAATTAGCTCTGTTAAGATAGCCTTCAAGGTGGGTGTGGTGTGGGGGTGATTCTTTAAGGAGGTACAGATTTTATGGGGACTTTTCAGATGAAAAGAATATGGGTAAAGTAATAAAGGTATGATTTTGGTATATGTTCTTTTCACAGAATTAACAAGTTTAATTAAGGTGGGGTTGGTATTTAACCAAGAGGGGAAACTAAGCTATAGAAAGTACATTTGAGGGACACCTGGATGGCTCAGTTGGTAGAGCATGTGACTCTTAATCTCGGCATTGTGAGTTCGAGCCCCACATTGGGCATAGAGATTGCTTAAAAATAAAATCTTAAAAAAAAAATACAATTGAAGGGTATCTCCCATAATCCAACTGGGAGAAGTACTAGAATGAGATGTTTCAATTTGATAGGGCACAGGGTATGTAGATAATTTTGAACGGGGTGCTAAAAATACCACAAACCAAACTACATGATGGAGGTTTGGATTTGAGTGTCCCACATAAACGAATAGGAGATTTCGTTCAAGTTTGCTCTTCCAGGCACTTGACTGCTTTCATCCCATTCCCTCCAGCTCTCCCTCCAGTTGCCCAAACACCATCTTCAGCTTCTTTTATATACCCTGTAACCAGCTGGTTGCAACAACTGTTTAATTTCCTGCTTGCCATGACACTCAAATTCCTCTCTCACCCAAGTTAAGACAATCTCCATTTCTTACCTGAATGGTGAAGATACCTCCTAACTACCTCTTTTCCTCATTTCTGTTCCATCCAACGGATTCTCTACATTTCTGTTACAATTCTCCTTCTAAGACCTTACTCTGAATACAAAGGTTTAATTTCATCTCATTGTCAACAAGAGAAAACCATTCAATCTCTTCGAGAACCTTCAAGCTTAATGATTGATCTGTTTCTACCCTTTCTTGGGAGGCCTTAATCCTACTCTTTTTTGCAGTCCTACTAAAGTAGATTGCTTTGCCCCCCCTTGCACACATTTTGCCCTTTACCTTAGTCAGCTTTCTTTCCTGCAGAAATTCTCAGAAACCTCAACATGCTGATGATGTTTTACGAGTCTGCAAGGAAGGCCCATCACATACAGAAATTTCTACACTTAGACAACTAGGGTGTCCGTTCCACAGGGAAGTGAGGTCACATCTGGATTAACACTGTTACCCTGCAGAATTTGTGTAGGTAACACTAGTATATAATTCCTGACACCGCAGGTTGGAATTGTTTTCACTCAAATCTAGGAAAAACATGCAACGTTTAAGCTCCTTATTTCTTGAGTAATCAGCTCCAGGTGTGGAGACCACAGGAGTGAAGGGGGGAGGAGCCTTCAGGTTCTTTCCGCTGGGCCTTTGAGCCACAGAGACAGGCTCCTCTCAAGGAGCTCAGTTTGCCCATTTGCTGTCACAAAGCTCTCCCCACTATGGCTTCAACAAACCTACGTAACTTGTTTTAGCTCTGCGGTTCAGGGCAACCGGGAGTTCAATCCTGGTATGTTGGGGAAATGTGCAAAGACTAGGTGAACCTAACCTTTGAAACAACTTGGCATCGTATAGGGCACTAACTCAGAAGAAGCACATCTGTTT